TGAATTCGTGAAGGCAAGGTTGTGACTTCTCCCAGGCAACCGATTAGGATGTTGTGCACCTAGTTATTATGTGACTGCAGCACCTGCTCAAGAGGAAGGAGACAGCTGATCCCAGCACAAACAAGCTGAAAGCACAGTAAATGGCAGGATAATAAAATAATAGTAACAGCCAACACTTACTGGGTGCTAACTGTGTGGCAGGCACCCCTCTAATTGCTCCACTTACTGTCTTAGCTCTTTTTGTCCCACCAAGTTACTCACTGATGTCCACCACACTTCAGTTACTCCGGAGAAAGTAAAAGTTATCCAAGCATAGATAACAAAGACAACAAACTTTAACCAATTTGACACCAGCCCCACAAGCCATATTCTCCCAAACTCCGTTTTCTGGATTCATTGCCTTGGCTGCCTGGTGTCAGTAGATTTACAGGACTTTACCCAAGGGTGGCACCTCAGAGATCAACCTTTGACTCTAAGCATTCTATTGGCAGAGTCCATTCTTCGAACTCCTACTTTTATTGTACGAATGAGGACATCAAGGAAAAAGCAGACGGAGTGAATCTGCCAAGGTTATAAGCATTAGAAAGGAGACCTGGTGGCACAGTAGGTTAAGTTTTGAGCTGCTCAGGGCAGGTCAGCGGTGTGACCCCACGAGCTGCTCTCTGGGAGAAAGATGGCATTCTGCTTCGGTAAAGATTTCTAGCCTTGCAAACCCTCTGAGATAGTTCTACTCTGTCCTATAAGGTTGCTATGTGTTGAAATCCCTTCAATGGCACATAACAAAAACAAATGAGCATTAGAATCAAAAGAAACATAATATCTCAGGATTAACACAAACTTTCAAAATATTCAGCACAGATATTCAAATCTTGCAAGAGACTATTTCTTAATCAACCCAAAACAAACAATTTTCACTTTGCATTACATGGTCCCTTTGGATTACGTGGTCACCAAGAAAAGGGAGCAAGTAGAATTTGACCCTAGTCTTTGAGTTTCATTGGAAGACTGGGCAGAAACCACATTTATTCTATAGCATTTCAAGTTATCAATTGGGGGAGGAGGGAATCATGGAATCCAAGATTGCAAATTATTACTTTCAGCTAATAACAGATGAAACATAGAGACAGCAGTAAACCTCAGGAGAAGCAATTAGTAGAACTCATCCTTGACCAAATAAATCAGACATGTCTGGTATAGGCACCAACCCTTTGAAACGTAAGGCATGTTTCTGGGAATCCCATTTATTAGAATCCATTTCCCTTCATATTAGAAAGGAAGGTTTAGAAGGATCAAGATGTTTCATGAGAGTTGAAGGCTCCCCTCTGGATAGGAAGTATTTGTAACATCAGTGGTTTCTCCGTCCATCATGCCGAGAAACTCTATCTTCTCTCTTCCTGCTCCACTCAGGAACTCTCCCTCTTGAAATCGTATAAGTTGTACATCAACATTTGCAAATGGTTCTAGAACCCAGGTAAATGAACTTGGGGAGTGAGAATCTATATGAAAACAAATCTATTGCTGTGGAGTTGATCCTGGTGAACTATAGAACAGAGTAGCAATGGCCCCCACAGGGCTCCGAAAGGTGTCGTCTTTATGTAAGCAAACTGTTCTATCTTTCTCCCTTGGAGCAGCTGGTGGGTTTGAACCTCAGACCTTTCAGTTAGCAGTCAAGTGCTTAACCATGGTGCCTACAGGACTCCTACTCCTTTGGGAATCCACAATGAAGTAGTAAAAATGGAAGCAGTCAAACATTTAAGTGACTTAGATTCAACTGGACATTCACTGGACTACGTCTTCTTCACAGATGCCAATTTACTGAGTTTGCAGTAGGGTCAAGGAACCTACATGTTAAACAAGTCTTCCAAGTGATTATGATGCAAGGAATTGATTGCTCTACAGAATGTCCTAGACACTAAAGAGAAGAGCATCCATCAAAGGGCGAGAGGCATAAGGCTGGCTGAGTATATCCAGGACAAGATGATGGTCTGCGGGCACTGTGTCAAGAAGAGACAGGCCAAGGTGTGGAGACATAGATGGAACTGGGGGTCTGTTGGTATCTGTGTGTGGATCGCTTCGAAAAATGAACACTGCCTACCCCAAATGCCTGCTTTGGGTATCCAGCTTACAAAATCATGACACTGTTATTAAGATCAAGTCTGGCAATATAATATACCATGTAAATAAAGCAAAGGGAAAGAACTATAAGATCGTATCAACTGATGCTGAAAGGGCATTTGGCAAAATCCAACCCTCAGTCCTGATAAAAATGGTCAGCATTAACAAAATGAATCTGATCCTGTTTTCACAGAATCATGAATGCCAAAGGTAAAAAGAGCTGCAGGCGTGCATCCAAAGGGAAGGTGTGCCTCCTTACTCCCCTTGTTTACATTTTGTCTTTCGTGGTTTCCCCTTTAAAAGATTGAAATAGAATTCTAGTGCTCTAAAAATTAACCTTCTCAAGTGTTCCTCATTGCTTTTACAACAACACTTATTTTCATATATTTATTTTTGTGATGTCATATAATAAATATAACTCTTCTAGCAAAACAGAAATAGAAGGAAAACTCCTCAATATAATAAAGGGAAATTCCCCAACATAATAAAGGCCATAAAAGCAAAACCAATAGCCAACATCTCTTGCTTAATGGTACAAAACTGAAAACATTTCCCTTGCCAACAGGAACCAGACAGAAATGTGCTTTATCACCAGTCTTATTCAATATCATATTGCAAGTTTTAACCCGAGCTATTAGACAACAAAAAGAAGCCAAAGGTATCCAAATTGTCAAAGAAGAAGTAAACTTCTATTTGCAGGTGATATCATTCTAGACATAGAAAATCCCAAAGATTCGACAAGAAAATTGTTGGAAATAATTGGAAACTTCTGCAATGTGGCAGGGTACAAAATCAACATAAAAAACAGTCGAATTCTTGGACACTAATGAAAAGAACTCTGAAAATGAACTCGAGAAAGCACTACCATTTATAATAGTCACTCCAAAGATGCCATACTTAGGAATAAACCTAAGCAGAAAAACAGAAGACTTGTACAAAGAAAACTACCAAACATAGAAACATGCTCCATGTTAATTGATAGGAAAACCTAACATTGTGAAAATGCCAAAGTAATCTATAAATATGCAAATCTGATACAGATCATAGCATCATTCATTAAAGAATTGGAGAAATGAATTCCCAACTTTGTATGAAAAGGGAAGAGGATCCAGGATAAGCAAAGCACTCCCTGAAGAAGGACACAGCCTCTCACTTCCCGACTGCAAAACCTACACAAGCAAGGCAGTCAAAACAGCCTGGTCCTGATATAATGACAGATAGGCTACTGGAAGAGAATAGAGCGATCAATCCATCCACCTACAGACAACCGATTTTTGACAAAAGGCTGAAATATATTTAATGAGAAAGAGATAGTCTCTTCAACAACCGGTGCTGGCAAAATTTGATTTCAATCTGCAGAAGAATAAAATAGTACTCAACCCTCACTCCATATACAGAAAACAAACTCAAGGTGGATCAAAGACCTAAATGTAAACACGAAAACCATAAAGATCATCAATTAGAAAATAGGGACAAACTTAAGGGCCCTAATACATGGCATAAAGCACACTACCAAATATAACAAAACACACACAGCAGAAGACAAAATATATGACTGGAACCTCCTAAAAAAAAGATACTTATGTGAACCCAAATACTTCATCAAAAGGGTAAAAAGAGAACCCACAGACAAGGGGCCAGGGGCTTGGCATGGGACTCATCTCTAAAAATCTATAGAAAATTACAACATCTCAATAAGAAAACAAGAATAATCCAAGTAAAAATGGGCAGAGGACATGAAGAGATAGTTCACCAAAGAAGACATCCAAATGGCCACCAAAGATATGGAAAAATGTTTGTCATTTCTAGTCATTAGAAAGATGCAAATCAAAGCAACAATGAGATACCACCTTGTTCTGGCATTGATAGCCAAGTTCAAGAAAACAGAAACTAACAAATGCTAGAGAGGGTGTGGAGAGATTGGAATCCTCATATACTGCTGGACTGTAACACAGTACAACCACTGGAAAAGGTGATACAGTGCTTCCTCAAACACTGGGAAGAAATACCACCAATCCCTTTACTCGGTTTATACCCTAAAGAAATAAGAGGCATATCGTGAATAGATATATATATGCACACCCATGTTCATCCAAGCATTATTCACAATGGTGGGAAGAGCCAAGCAACCTAAATGACCATCAGTGGAAGAATAAATAAACACATTTTGGTACATATCCATAACAGCATACTCTACAACACTAAGGAGTAACAATCAAACTGTAAAACATGAAACATCAAGAATAAAGTTAGTTGGTCACAAAAGACAAATATTATACGAGACCATTGTTATAAAAAATCAATCCAAAAAAAGGAGCTGACACCAAGGGCTCAATAGAAAACAAATGTCTGGAAAATAATGATGGCAACATATGGACAAATGTGCTTGATACAATTGATGTATGGATTATTACAAGAGCTGTAAGAGCCCTCAATAAAATGTTTTTAAAAATATCAATCAAGATACATGGTGTAGAATAGAGAGGAAGATGGTGATAGAAGTAGCCTCAACTAAGTCAGGGGCATTCGATTCTAAAAGGGACCCCAAAGGAGAACTTGGGTGATATATTTTTTAATCATCATTTTTTTTAAAGTTTCAGGTTTAAGGCAAGATCATCAACCAAGGGAAAATCTTATTTTTCCAAGTCACAAAATAAATTGGGCAAATGCTCTTCAAATTCTCACTCACTCCCATTGAGTTGCAACTGCTGACTCATAGCGGCCCCCTGTGGGTTTCCAAGAGTTAGGGAAGTAGAAAGGCCACTCTTTCTCTCACAGAGCTGCTGGTGGTTTTGAACTGCCAACCATGCAGATAGCAGCTCAACGAATAACCATTACACTTCCAGGGTTCCTACTTCTCAAGTCACTCCCTTTAAACCTCTTACCTTCTACGCTGCCTGATCCCTGATAAAATCAGTAGCGTGATTGCCACGATGACGATGCAAAAGACCACACCGAATATGATGATCCAGACGGGCACAGCTGAGTCAGTGGGTGGTCCAAGAGTGGCAGGGATTTTTAAAAATTCCAGAGTCTGGTCATTCAAAAGAAAGGCATTGTTGATCCGGTTCCTGTTCATTCTAAAGTGTGTCGATATTTCAAAGCAAACAAAACAAGACAAACACAAACATGAGAAGCAGAAAAATACAGACCCCGCCCCTCCAGAATTATGCATGTCTTTGGAAACAAAGCCTCCCTTTGGCAGGAGACTTTAGGTTGACAAACAAAAAAAGTTTGGAGAAGGCCTTTGTGTTGTGGTTTACCTGGTTATCTATTCATTGGTTACAGTGGCCAGCGAGGTGCTAACTGATGCTCAACTACTGTCAACTGTTGCAAATGCCATACAAACATCCAGAAGTCCTGAGATTTGAGCTCTGTCTACACGTTTTCTGTCCTGAGAGGCAGCTTCTACACTAGACTCATAGAACTTTAAGGTAGATCACAGAGACACCAAAAGCTCTATTGGATTGCACAGCTGATTCGAAGTGCTCCAGAATCCCAAATCTTCTCAATGTTATCCATATTTAGTTAGGATCCATACAGTAAAATAATTTTGCATAATCAACAAAGCACAAATAAACATCTTGCTGATACTCTCTGCTTGAGGTCAAAGTCTGCAACTATATGCCTTGTGCCATTTCCTCTACTGAATCCCACTTGCTTGAATTTCTAGCAGCTCCCTGTCAGTGTAGTGCTGCAACCGTTGTGGAAAGGTTTTCAGCAAAATTCTACTTGCATGTGATACCAATGATATCATTTTATAAGTTGTGCCTTCTGATGGGTCACCTTCCTCTGCAATGGGCACAAATGTGGATGCCTTCTATTGGCTATTGCCAACTAGCTGTCTTCCAAATTTATTGGCATAGACAAGTGAGTACTTCCAGTGCTTCCTCAACTTGCTGAAACAATTCAATTGGTATTCTAGACTCTATTCCTAGAGCAGCAGTACTCAACCTGTGGGCCTCGACCCCTTCCAGGGTGGAACGACCCTTTCACAGGGGTCGCCCAATTCATAGCAGTAGCAAAATGACAGTGATGAAGTAACAATGAAAATAAATTTATGGTTGGGTGGGTCACCACAACATGAGGAACTGTATTAAAGGGTCACAACATCATGAAGTTTGAGAACCACTGCACTAGAGCCTTTGGTTTTTTGCTAATGCCTTCTGTGTAGCTTGGTGGGTTCTCCACTAACCTTTTGGTCAGCAGTCTAGCACTTTAACCACCAACCTTCCAGGGCTTTGCTTGCACCACCCAACCAAAACTAAACTCACTGCCATCGAGTCCATGCTGAATCAGTGACCCTATAAGACTGGGTAGAGCTGCTGCTGGGAGCTTCTGAGATGGGAACTCTTCAAGGGAGTAGAAAGCTGGTAGTTTGGAACTGCTGGCCTGGCGGTTAACAGCCCAGTGCATGACCACTGCACTACCAGGCAGGGCCCCTTTGTAGCACCCAGGGACTCCTTATTTCGTACCAAGTCTCTCAGAAAATCACTGTGCTTTTTATGCTGATTGCATATCTTATTTTGGACAAGTCACATGTGTTGATGGCGACTATTAGCACAGGTGCAGAGAGCCCCATCATGATGGCTCTAGGGTCTCTGCCAACCAGCCCCAAGCTATCAGGGAAGCCCATTGTCAGAAAAAAGCTGTGCCAAGGCCTGGCCTAATCATTTATTGATTGGAAGTGGAACCCCAGTCGGAGAGCCCAGGGCAAGGGATAATTTGAAAGTCATTGACTCCAACTATGTGAGGCTTCTGTGTTTTCATAACTGATTTGGGATAATCTGGAATATAAACCTTTCCACACAATAATAAAGTTCATGACCAAGGTATAACTCAGGGGGAAAAAATAAAAGAAATGAGCCTTGGCTCTGCATTCTCATTCAAGCTATCTGGCTAGCCTGTTGCTACTTTCTCACTCCAAGCTGGACCTGGGCGCTGTCACGTCTCAGGTTGATTGGAAGTTCTAGCTCAAGTACAGACTAAATCTGCCTCCACAAGGGAATTGCCAATTGGAGAACTCCTTGACCTTCACCTTCAAACACTCATCAACCTCCTCACATGAACTGACACCTAGTGCCTTCATTTTTCTTGCAATCTTCCTGTTCATAAGACCTGAATTAAAAGGCATTTTCACGTGAAATGCAATATTCCGAACTCCAACACCCTAAGCGGTGGGTTTGACCTAGTGGCGTAGTGGTTACGATAAGGCCAGCAGTCCGAAAGCACCAGCCGCTCCTCGGGACAAAGAAGAAGGCTTCTACTCCCATGAAAGGAATGACAGTCTTGGAAACCTTCTTTATCCTACAGGATCACGATGAGTCAGAATTGACTCGGCGACAGTGAGCTTGTGGACCAGTATACTTAGTGGGGAAAGTGCACAAATGACTTACTTCAAACCTTCTTGTTAAAGCAGATTAAGGAGTTCCCACTGGTATAGAGCAGTGGTTCTCAACCTTCCTTATGCCATGACCCTCTAATACAGTTCCTCATGTGGTGGTGACCCCAACCATAAAATTATTATCGTTGCTACTTCATCACTGTCATTTTGGTACTGTGATGAATCAGGTGACCCCCATGAAAGGGTCGTTTGACTCCCAAAGGGGTCACAATCTGCAGGTTGAGAATCGCTGGTATAGCTCCTCTGCTTGTTTGCTTCAACAAGGGAAATAGACGCTTGTTCACAAAAGCTTTGACTTTTGAACTATAGGTTCATTATCTTAAATGTTAATATTTATAGAAAGCAAATGAATTCTTTCACTAAGCATTTCTCTTTGGGGAAGAGATAAACATACTTTTCAGACACATGCAAATCCGTGTTCATGACAATTTCTAGGTGCTTTTTTTTAAGGTGCCATCAAGTTGGCTCCAGTTCATAACAAGCCCAGATATGACAGAATGAAACGTCACCAGGTCCTGGACCATCCTCACAATAGTAAGTATCTTTGAGCCCATTGTTGTAGCCATTGGTTGAGGGGCTCCCTCTTTTTCTACCATCTTTTTTGAATAAGCAAGCATGCAGTTTTTCTCCTGGGAGTGGTCCATCTGAGTAATACATGCAAAGAAAGCGAGACAAAGTCTCTCTATCCTCTCTTCTAAGGAGCATTCTGGCTAGATGTCTTCTTCTATGACAGATTTCTTTATTCCTCTGGACAGTCGTGGTATATTCAGTAGGCTTTGCCAAAACCATTATTCAAAGGTGTCAGCTCTTCATGGGTCTTCCTTTGTCATTGTCCAGAGCTTCCCCAGCATTTGAATTTACAGTTGTGACACACAAGAAGTGGACATCACTTGAAGTAAATACAAATTGCATCCTTCTGCTTCTTAGATATAAGAATATGCCATTGGACTATTTTGAAAATCTTTAAGTTTTAGAATGCTGATACAATAGAAATGATTATTTTCTGAAGAAAATCAAATGGACTGTGCCTGGTGAAACATCATTGCTTACTGTCCAGCTGATAGGCTAGTGTGTCCATTTGTAAATATTTTTCACCATTTTAAACAGGAAATGAGACCCTCCATGGAGGGAGTATGAAAAGTGTCGAATGCCACGTGAAAAGGGATTTGGTTCATGGCTGTGAATGGGGAAGGCTGTGTGGAAATGAAAACTCTGGTGGGTGGGGTGAGAACCAGAGGTCCCTGGGTGGTGAAAGCTATTTGCTCTTGACTACCGACATAGATCAGGGTTGAACCCTACCCATTGGAAGAAAGGCCTGGCAATCTGCTTCCATAAAGAATACAGTCAAGAAAGTCCTACGGAATTCTATTGTATAACGCAGGGCTTTTCCATCAGTTGGAACTGACTCCCTGACCACCGTGGTTTTGTTTGGAGGTGGGGATTGTTAAACCAAGCTTCAATTAACATGAGAAGGTAGACTAGTACTTCGGGTGAAGGTCAAGGATTTAGCTCTTAAAATAATAATAATATAGCTCTTTGTGGTGATTGGCTCCAATTGGGGATTCTGGTGGTTCCTTGAATTCTCCTTTGAACCCGTTTTAACATCTTACAAGGTCCCTCAGTATCTATTGAGATAATAAGATCTGTGATATGTGTTCATTTTTAATTTAAGTAGAGTCTCGATTGTACCTTTTAAAGAAAGTGCCTCTGTTAGCAGTCAAGCCTGTACATTGACCTAAGAAATAACAAGGTATGGTCTGCCCCTCAAAACTCCTTACAGCTATTAACTCATTTTATCTTCTTGCCAACTCTGTGAGTGGTATTAACCCCATTTTACAGAGGATGGGGAGAAAGCACGAAAAGGCTAAGCAACTTGCCTGCGCTGAAGCTGAATAGGTAGCGAGAAGCAACTATTCTGGCTCCAGTCCGTGTGATGAACCATCACATGATCATGCCATACAAAGTGTTCTTGCCAAAAGCGGACAGGACTAAACTTTCCTAGCTAATATTTAAGTCAGGATTCCTCAGCCATAGCCCCCATGACATTTGGTGCAGAACGATTCTTTGGTGCACTCTGCCTCCTCAATGTCAGTGGTGTCCCTGGTTGCGACAACATCCCTGCCCCCCAAAAAATGTTGCCAGGTAGTGCCAAATTCTCCTTGGAGGCAAATTGTCCTTGAATGCCCTACAGCAGTCTCTAAGATCAATGAAATGAAACCCTTGACCCTGAGCTCTTGATAAATTAGTCATGCGTGAAGAGGGGATGAAATAGACTTCAGAAAAGGTGAAATCCACTGACTTTCCCACAAGTTGGTGTCTCCCTAGAAAGCCTACTCAGGGGCGATTACCTTATGGCTGACTGCACTTCCACTGCAGGAAGGGTGTGGTTTTTCGAAGGGTCAGTCACCACAAACCAGAAGGACACGCGCTGGGTGATGTTGCAAAGTAGGACATGGGCAATTCTGCAGACAAAGGGGGAGGGAAAGGACATGGTCAGAAAAATTATACCCAATGGCATTTGACCATCCACCCGGAGGTTCAAGGCATAGGAAGAGGGGGGTCTTACCTAAATACGCAAAGTCATTTCTAGTATCGTGAAGAAATGTCTTATGAAGAAAACAAGGACGCCAGGAAAATGCACTCTTTGATTTCAAACTCATAAATGTAAGGACCATTCCTTAAATGGCGAGTATGCCACGCACGGATGAGTAAAGAAATAAATGGGATAGACCAGTGAGGGGAGTTAGGATCTCGAACTCCCTCATCTCTCAGCTGATAGCAAGCTGGCCTCCCCAGGATTCCTCCTTAAACTCAGGGTTGGATCCCCGTTGTTGAGGCCTCTTGGGCATATTCTGTGACCTGCACTTGACTTACATATTTTCTCCCTCACCCCAACCTGGTTTCCGACCCAAGCAATGCCTTGTGCCCATCCATTTGAGGAAATGTTTCTTTCACTCCACCTTGAACACACCTGGGTGACAGAGGGTTTGAATCAATTACCCAGTTGCCTTGGGGCACTTGGCTTGGCAGGCAAATGCTTCTCAACTGTGAGTTGGAAATGTGACTTATTCTACTCGATGATGAGCAGGACAACACCAAATACATGTTTTCATGTTCAAAGAGAAGATGATCTGGAGATGAATGTGTGCCAGCTGAAAACTACAGGAAGAGTCCACATAAGCTCAGCAGTGCCAAGGTGAAAATAATAAATCATCCATGACTCCCACTATATCCCTAAGACATACATTTTACACAGAGAGACAGAGGGGTGGGGGGGAGGGACATTAAGAATCTTTGTGGAAGAATGGAACGTACATCACATTCACTGAGCTGATCATCAGAATCATTTTAAGAGTTTGTTTTTAAATGACGCTTCAGGCGGACGGTGTTCAAGATTGCCTGATAAACTCCAGGGGCAGGGCAGTAGAAAAGAGGAGGGCCCTGTACACGATGGATGGACACAGTGGCTGCAGCCATGAGGCCGAACATAAGGACAATTGTCAGGATGGCGCAGGATCAGGCGGTGTTTCTTTCTGTCATATGCATAACGTTGCTGTGAATTGGTACCGACTCCAACCTTCGGTGTTACATGGCCGAGTGTACCTTACTTTTAGTATGTTTGTGGCATTATCTAGAATTTTCCAGTCGACCTATTATTAGCCTATCTCCCTTTAAGTGTAGGACCAAAATGGAGGCAACCCTTAAGCCCCTCTGGCCAGAGTCAAACGCATGCGATCCACAGGAGAAAAGGATGAAATTGACCTTCTGGTGTCCCTTAGGCTGTCGTGGCAACCAGTTCTGTCCCCTGCGTCTCATAAGGGCTGTCTGGACTCGAATGGAGAGGCCAAATACCCAAACTCAAGAGGTCGCCTCCAGGCAGAACACCCGAACTCACCAAGATGCCTCCCCTCCCCCTTCCACACTTCCACTCCACCCCCACCCCCGCCCCCTCAGGCTCCAACTGTCACCAGGAACTCTAAGTGCTCCAGGCAGACCTCATAGGCAGACGTTGAGGGAACTTCTGGAGGCCTCTCTCGAACTTGCCGCCGACTTCCATGGGCAACTACCTGGGCAAGTTCCTGGGCACAGCCCAGCCCCCATCTCTACACCTCTCCCATGGCATCCCCCCTGGCCTCATGATCCTGGAGCCCGGGGTACTGAGGGAGACTGAGGACTCGCTGCGCTTGCCCAACCAGATGCATCTCCAGGCCATCAGGAGATTCGACCTCTACACCCAGAGGCTGGGGCTCCCCCGCGGCCTCCGGCTCCGCCGCCTCCGCGAGATCAACCCGATCAAGCCCAAGGCCAAGAGGGCCAGGGCCGTGGTGCAGCTCCAGAGCCAGGGCGACAGAGAGAGCATCAAATTCGACGCGACCCTGAAGTTTGAGGTCCGCGACCCTGAGCCACCGCGACAATCTGCCTTCAGGCCGGTGCTGAAGAATGGTGAGCTGCGGCCCTTCGTCCCCAGGCCAGGGCCGCTGACCAAAGGCGGGCCCCCCTGGAAATGCGGTGTCTGCAACATCAACCTGCCGATCGTTCCTCAGCCTACCATGCGCTCCTTCCACCTGATGCTCCGGGGGCCCAAAATGAAGTGCTACCGTCCTCGTCTGCTGCCCAGATTCCTGCCACCACCATACTTCCATCCTTACCTGATGCCCTGCCGCCGCCGCCCACCACCACCACCCTTCCGACATCACCTGCTGCCCTGCTGCCCACTATCACCACCACCACCACCCTTCCGTCCTCGCCTGCTGCCCAACCTGCTGCTGTGACGCTGCCTGCTCACCGTGACCCCTGAAGCTCCCCAGCCTGCTGCCAAGGCCACGCACAGCGGGAGAGCCAAGTCCACAGCCTTCTCTCCTGCCGACCCTCTGTTCTACTCCGAAGTGGGACAGTGACACCCACAGCTCACCTCCTCCTGCTCCAGCCACGGGGCAGCCAAGTCCCACCTTCAGAGCCCACCCTGAAGAGACCAAGTTTGCTTCCCTTCGCCACCCAATTTCCCCAGTTCAAATCATTGAATAGTTTTCTTAATAAAATTTTTGTTTGTGGCAATACTGAGGTGAGTCGTTTATTTTCCTAGAGATGGTCATACTGATAGGCCGCAGAGTTTGTCCATGGGGCAGAATTTATATGCGGATCTGGATCATTTTGAGAAGGGGGGGGATGGGGGTTGTGGAGCTGTCCTGTCCAAACTGGATCATTTTGAGGAGGGGGAGATGGGGGTGGGGGTGGGGGATCTCCTGTCCACTTAAGGGCTTTTAGCAGGATCCCTGACCTCTGCCCAGCAAGTGGTGGCAGCAAATCCACAGATGTGAAAAAGCCAAAATGGCCACAGACGTCCCATCTTCTGATACCAGTGGTGGGGGTGGGGGTGGAGGATGGGAGAGTGGGGTAGGTGTATGGAGGGGGAGAGCTGGAGGAGTGGGGAGGCAGGGAGCAGGTGGGATAAGGATGGAGTGGGGGTGCTGGGGTATTAGAAGTGGGGAGGAAGTTAGTAACTGAAGCAGGGGAATAGCATTGGGGCACAATGACCTCTGCTGGCAGAAATCCTCAAGTTCAGACAGTTTTAGAACACAGATTAAAGCCGTGGAGAACAGTTTGGGGGGCGGGGTGGGGGGTTGTGAATTATTCAGCTTGCCCAGCCTGATAGATAAGCAAAAATTGAGAGACTCTTGAAAGTCTTCACACTGGCAAGACTTCACAAGCTAAATTCCCTGCTGGGAAGCACAGAGGGACTTAGAACCTGGTGCAGGGCTGTGAGAGTGTCCACTGGTCGAACCATCAGAGGGTCCTTCGGAAGGGCCTCCTAGACCTGAGAGCACGCCCACCAGAAACGCATGAGAACTGGCAAGGATGCTGATGGTAGCACTGTGCGTTATAGCAGAGAACTGGAGCAACCTCAATGTCCACCAGCGGGGAAATGGATAAAGTCAATGTGGCAGCTGCTCTCAAGAAGGGCTGGTCCACAGATGAATGCAAGGAACTGAGCCAGGCGCTCTCCACCTGGGCACTGTCAACACCACGGTGGGGCCACACAGTTCTATGCTGTGGGGGCTGTTCTGTGCATGGTAGGATGGTTAGCAGCATCCCCCCACCCCACCGCCTATTTGATGTCAGGTACACCCCCTAATTACAATATATGAGTTATCTTTGTAAAACGTTTTCTGGGCACAGTAAGATAAACGATAAGAAAACACACAAACAGACTGCACGATGGATTAATGGATATTTCTTCTGGGTTCCATGGCTAATGAAATAGCAGATACAAACATATTATGAAAATAATAGAGTTGTTTTCATATTTCAAGATATTGATTGGTTCCAGTCCCTTTAAGGGGGGTCTAAATCATGGTTGAAGCGCGTTTTTTAGATAGTCCTTCTAGGTATCCAAATGCATCAAGTATTTATTATTATGCCACCCACTGTACTAGTAGTATACGTCACACCACTTCCGTCATTCCTCCAAGAATGATAGTAACATAAAGGGCAACTAGTTTTAACTGCTAAGGGTCTTCATCAGCAGAAGGAGTAGTTGTCCTACATGAATATCTTGCCCAGAGCTCTGCTGGTGTACTGGCTATGTGTTGGCCTGTTAACTACATGGTCAGTAGTTTGAAATCATCAGCCGCTCCGAGGAAGGAAGACAGGGCTTTCTACTCCCAGATAGAATTACAGTTTTGGAAACTCACAAGGGCGTACCTCAGGCATGGTGAACCTACTTCTGGGCCGGTCATTTCATACCATCCCCACAAGGATAGGGTGGGGAAAAAAAGAGAAAGGGATTACTGGGCCACTAGTAATTATGTCCACTGTGTCGCACAGAATTTCCTCCAACTTCCTTACCCAGATGTGAACATCGAGTGCCACTCCTAACTCAAATTCACTGCCATCGAGTCGATTCCAACTCATAGTAACCCTACAGGGCAGGGTACAACTGCCCCCTGTGGGTTTCTGAGACTGTAACTCATGGGAGTAGAAAGCCTCATCTTTCTCCCGAGGCATGGCTGGAAGTTTCAAACTGCTGGCCTTGCAGTTAGCAGCCCAGTACATAACAACTACACCACAATGGCCCCCACAGAGACACTGGTAACATACCGTGCAGTGAAGCATGAATATGACCCTTCAAGCCAGTTTTTGGAACTCACACCATATGACTTTGTAGGACTATGCAAATGAGGTCCTTGTGGCCCACCAACGGGATTGGATAGTTTACTACTAATGTCAATAAGGTTTGTGGCACCCTTGTGGGGATGGGACCATGCAAATAAGGTGTATGGAACTCTGTCGTGAGAGGATTGGTCCATTTTGCCATCCTGCTAGGCTTAAAATGAGTCATTCCAGAGGTGGAAAGGACTTCACAACTTCCAAGAACCAAGAACCAAGAGGGAATCACGTGCTGTGGGCCCCAGGTGCTAAGACCCTTCTAGCCCGAGGAAACGGACAGAGAGAGGGCTTTTACACTAGAGATGATGAGAGAAACAGGAGACTGACAGGAGATGGGAATTGGTGGGCTTCCCAGCCCATTGAGAGCTGAGCACCTTTGAGCAGGAGGCTTGCTAGTGAAGAGAGGTGTCAACAGCAGGCCGTGAGGTTGGCGGGGGCGGGGGGGGCAGCACTACAATATATTATAAAAACCCAGCAAAGAAGTAGAGATTGCCCTGGGGGGGGGGGCGGTAAAATGGTTGGAGGCTGTGCAACCCCTGAAGAGAGTGTAGGTGACAGTGGCCCTGGGGAAGTGTAACGGTCAGGAGAGAGCATTGCTGAATGAAAAGAGGGCAGTTGTACATAATTCAGGAGCTAAATTGTCTATGTTGTTGTTCCACACAATCCAGAGAGATCATCCTCTTGACATTTTGGTAACTTTTTTTCATTTTGGGGGTATGAAAACCAGGACTGATGAGCCTATAGAGTCAGCAAGTGGAATGAGGATTTTGGGAGGAGGGGGGTACAGAGGTGGTGGTGGGGTGAAGGGCTAATGACATCAAGGGGTCCATATAGAAAAAGAATATTTGGAAGCTGATTGTGGTCGTAAATGTACAAATCTACTGGACGTGATTAAACTATGGAATGATTTGATATATGCATCCATCCCAATTCATTAAAAAAAACGTTGCTACCATCGAGTCGATTCTGACTCATCTTGGTCCTGTAAGGACGGAAGAGAACTGCCTGCACAGGATTCCCGAAGCGGTAACTCTTTCCAGAAGCAGACTGCTTCATCCCTCTCCTGCAGGGCAGCTGGGAGGTTTGAGCTTCTGACCTTTGAGTTAGCAGCCCATGGTTCCACCCCGTGCCCCACCAGGGTTCCTTTGATGTAATAAGTAAGCTGAAATGCCATTGGTCCAACTCATGGGAAACCCAAGTGTGCTGCGATTTTGAAAAAATTCTCCACAGTGATCATTTTGAACATTTGTTTTTACAAAGGCATGGTGTTAGCACACGCCAGTGGCCCCTTTAAGCCAATCACTGAAGAGGCAATAACAATGTCCACTCCCTCTCCTCAAGTTCAAGCATCTGGGCATCTGGGGTCTAATGTAATCCTCTCAGAATTGGCTCCACACTCCCTTCTCATCAACAGCACCAGACAGGGCCAAATCTTTCCAGGGGTGCTAAGAATCAAGCTCTTGTTTCTGGAACTCAAAGGGGCTCAATGAGAGTTGGGCTGCTGTTTGACAAGCACGAGACCACTAATCCCCTTACCATGGAGACAACAGCACGCTGTTCCTTTGTAGATCACAAGATTTACCCTGGAAAAGTGCGGTTCGGCAAGGAATCCAGTACATGCCCTGTACTGGGCAGCACTTTGCCGCAATCCAATTGGTTTGGATTTTTTGGATATATATGACTCATAAGAGCCCAATAGGACAGAGTAGAACTGCTTCCTCGGGTGTCCAAGGCTGTACATCTCTATGGAAGCAAACTGCTACACCTTTCTCCCTCAGAGCAGCTGGTACATTTGAAACACCAACCTACAGTTAAATAGCACTACACTTATCCACTATGCCACTAGGGTTCATATACATATATGAGCCAAATAAAGGCCATTTTTGGCACCAAATAAACATAATATATATGTATGTATGTAGTATGTATGTATACATGGATAAGTTAAGAACCCTGGTGGCATAGTGGTTACCAGATGGGCGTCAATCCGCAGGGTCAGCTGTTCGAAAACACTGGTCACCTTCACAAGAGAAAGACTAGGCTTTCCACTCCCATGAAGAGTAAACCCACAGGGGCTGTTCTACCCTGGCCTATAGGGTGTCTCTGACTCGGCAACAACTCCTTGGCAGTGAGTTGAGATATATGTATACATAAACATTTCATTTAGAGAGATATATATATCTATATATGTGAGTTGAGATATATGTATACATAAACATTTCATTTAGAGATATATATCTATATATGTGAGTTGAGATATATGTATACATAAACATTTCATTTAGAGATATATATATCTATATATGTGAGTTGAGATATATGTATACATAAACATTTCATATATATATATATATATATATATACACACACACACCGACATGCATAGACAGTAGAGCCCTGGTACTTGACCGCATCAGTACTCGACATAATTGGATTTTGACACAAAATGTTGAGAAATTTTGCATCGCATCAGTACTCGACATAATTGGATTTTGACACGGAATGTTGAGAAATTTTGCATCGGAGCCTGAACAAAACTTCGGAATCTGACCGGACACACGTGATTTTTGTCAACAAAAGTAGTTCGTGTTTCCGTCACGTGGCATTAGTTGGCGATGTTAGTATGTGTTGTTTAGACTTTTTGCGGCTGTGTTCCAAGCATTTTGCTATAATTTTCTTAGTTTTTATGGCTTTATGTACTGCTTTTAGATAAAAAATATGGGTCATAAGAGTTTTTTGAAAAGAATCATCATGATAAGGACTGCTTAACTGTTATAGATATTGTTGATGATAATTTAATAAACCCTTTTAGAAAACAATCAAGGAAATGCTAACAGCCGACCACATTAGAAAGATTTCTTTTTTAGAGAAAGCCAGCCAGGTCCTAGTGCAAACAGGCAAAGAAGGGGGGAAAAAACCTCCTGAAAAGCAGCTACCAGTTGATTTGATGGAAGGGGATTCCCCTTCCAAACACTGACTCTCTCTCCATCCTCCTCTCCACATCCGTGTCCACAGATCTAGATCCTCATCAGTCTCAAGGGATGGGTCATCCTGTGGTTGTTAAAAACTTTTAAAATGTTTTTAAATTATATTATTTAACTCTGAACTTATTTACTTTGAAATGTCTGTGTAATGTTTTGTATAAAAAGGCAAACATGGTAAAAACTTGGTGGTCGAGAATGGATTAATCCATTTTCAGTTACTTCTTATGGGAAAAATGGATTCAGAACTCAACTGCGTCACATCTCGGCACTCCTTCTAGAATGGATTAGTGTCAAGGTCCAGGGTTCTACTGTATAACGTGTTATATATGTGTATCTATACATTTATATTGATGTTGTATGTGTTTATATTGGTATACATATAAACTTTATATACATATATGTATATAAATAGGTCTGTTTGTATGCATATATACTTACATTTATATGCACACATTTATATTGGGTGGTGTTATCAGATAAGCATTGGACTATTAAGCAAAAGGTTGGTGGTTCAAAGCTACCAGCCTCTCCACAGGAGAAAGGCGAGGCTATCTGTTCCCATAAAAATAAGAAATCCTATATGCAGGGTTGCTGGGAGTTGAAGTTGACTCAATGGCGGCGGTTTACTTTTCTACGTTATATTCACAGACCATGTGTCAGATATCGTGGAGTTGAAGGTGGTGGATGAAGAGTAACCATCTTTGCCAGGTTCTGAAATATTTTAGAACTAAGATAAAAGAATGAAGCAGCGAGGAAGCCAATTAAGGAACTTAGTAGGCATCTGTGGCTTTAGCCAGCAAATTGACTTCCTAATTCTATTTTTTCAATCCCAGAGCTAGGTAAGTTTATCTCTGCTGAACCCGGGAGAGCTGAATTGGGCCTGGTCGGGATATTTAACACTCGGATGGCATGCCCCACCTCCACCTCTCACCCCACCCAGCCCCGATGAGGCGCCAGTGTAAAGGACAAGGCAGCCTCAGGGGTATGAGTGTGCCGCAGCAAGCCCCGCTGCTCTCCTGAGAATGCCTGCTGGCTGTGGGTCGGCTGGATCCCAAAGAGAAAGGAACCCACGGCCAATGGTTTCTGCCAGCTCACCAATTAGCTCACTCATTTCACCTCTCAAGGGAAGTGTGAAGATGGGAGCAGAGCCAGCATATTGCCCTAATGGAGGTTCCTCTTGGTGGAAGCAACCATCACACCGAGAGGAGCATTCCTCCCGAAGAACAGCCAAGTGTGAGATGATTTCAAAGTGGACTGAGAGCGTTCACTACATAGACAAGGTGCTCTGAGAGACACCAACCGTGGGGAGACACTGTACGCCTCTCCAAATGAGAGGAGAGTTCTTTAGAATCCAGGTAAGTGCGGATCTAACTAGCTATGTTTAGGAGGTAAAACAAATGTTTACTAATAATTATCTTCAAAGTGCCCATTCGATAAAGAACATGGTTGGACGTGATATAAAGAGTAAGCTGAACTAGACGACACATCTTTCAAATGTCCGATACAAACATGTCTCTTCACACACTTCAGTGAAGGCATGCTTTCCACCAGCCAATTGTGCTTTCCACCAGCCACACACCCTGTCTCAAATAGTGTGCGACAAATCGACCAGGAGATGTTTTCACTGGTTACTTACTCCGTGGCTTCTCTGTTGGGAACTTTTCTCATGGAGAAAGCCACCATGGCCCGAAAGAGGTATTCCTCATTTGTGTCCCAGGTATACTGAAAGAGGAGAAACAGCAGAAAATGAAAAGGGAAGAGGTCAGGGAAACTTGCAGGCTTGGGGCCCCAGTGGCTCGCTCTCACTAAGTCTGGGGACCAGGACCTGAAATGCCCCACCAGGATGTCCTGGGAGGGGCTTCTTGGGGCAGCTCTACTCTGTCACCTGGTGCCACTGTGAGTTGAAATGGACTCCGTGACACCTAAGAGCCGTAGGCCAACTGGAACCACTCAACCAAGGGAGACCAAACCATGAGAAAAGAAAGGCCTGGTTAGAAAGAGCGCACAGACTCCCACCAGCCTGCCAGCCCCTTGGAGACCTGAGGCTGCGGGCTCGGGGCTCACAGGCACCAGACAACCACAAGCTGGGGCAGACGGGAAGCTGAAGATGCCAGACAGCTCTCTCTCCTCTGAGCAGGCAGTGCAGTCAGCTGTCCAAGCTTGGGGCGGATTTCACCTGCCCTGTCGTGGCTTCCTCTTGGAGCCAAGAGCATGAGCGGGCTGCTGGTCTTCCCTCTGAGTCAAGTTTGGGACACAGAGCAAGCCCCCAGGCCATTGTACATTGGCGAAAGCGTGTTGTCGCTCTACCAGAACCCGCTCCTCCTGGGTGAGTGTTCTAATAAAACAAAACAAAACAAACCCAAACTCACTGTCATTGAGTCAATACTGACCCACAGTGACACTAGAGGACAGGGTAGAACTGCCTTGTGGATTTTGAGACTGTAGTTCTTTACAAGAGTAGAAAGCCTTGTCTTTCACTGAGAGGCTCCTGGTTTTGAACTGCAGACCCTGTGGTTAGCAGCCCAATGTGTAATCCTCTACACCACCAGAGCACCTTTGAGTGTTAGGGCGCCTTTGAGTAAGTGGTAGGGGATTGCAACCTAACCTTTGAAGCTAACCGACTTCTGCTAGGGTTTTCCAAACTTTTTAGAGTCTGATTTCATGCCTAAAAAGATGAATACATTTATTGAGAAAATTAACCACTTAGAAAGGGTAAGGAAAGAGACACTACAGCTACGCTTCAGCATCCCCTACACATCAGCCATTTCACTCCCAAGAGAAAGAACACGTGGAGAAGCCATAAATAAGAACAGTCATAGCAGCTTAGCTACCTTCTGTGCATATACCTGAATCATAATAGGTGCTCCAAAAAGACCCAAATGAACCAAACCCAACCCACTGTGATCAAATAAATTCTGACATAGCGACCTGATCCAGCAGAGTACAACTCCTCCCCAGGAATTCCAAAACCGTAAGTCTTTGTGGAAGCAGATAACTGCGGACAAGCTGGGAGGTTTGTACCACTGATCTTGCAGTTGGCAGGCCAACGCTTAGCCCACTGTGACACCAGGGCTCCTTGGTGGCACATATTAATTTCCTGTGTTTATCCATCATTTTGGATACCTTGCAAGTGACAAGACCGTGAGTGATAAGGAACTAAGTGTATAAACAGCTAAGCCCTTAGAATAAAACCATGGCTGACCTCATGCTTTAGATGAGTCATCAAGTGTAACCTGAGAAAGGTACCAAACAGAACGTATTGGTTTAACTATAAATTCACGATGCCCGCATCCCCAAATGGCCTGGTAATCCCTTCCATTTCTTCATCAGCTCTCTCGCTCTCTGGCTCTCTTCACAGTGACTATTTCAAATCTCCTGAGGGCACCCAAATCCCAAACGGTTTCATCACACCCCAGTTTCATGAAATGTTCTTGCTTCATAGATAACGAAAGTCTGCAGTCATCTGTTCAAACTCACTCATCCTCCAGATGTCCAGATACAATACTTCCACCAGGGACAGACATCCTATCCACCTCCTCCATCCCTCCCTTAAGAACTCTTCCCCTCTGCCCATCTCAGGATGGCCTCCTGTGAATGCAACTCCCCACTAGGCTTGTCCATTTACTTCTCAACAGGCTTAAGCTTCCCCCAGGGGAAGTGGGGGAGGGACAGAAAGCTGCTTTGCTCAATCCTCCTTTCTTGCACATACTGCTGTCTCTCAGCCCTTCTCAGGCACAATTTTCAAAAGGGTTTTCCATGCTCCAGTTTCCACATGTTTACTGTTTGTTAGGGGATGAACTGTGTTCCCATCAAAGGGCTAAAGTCTTAATCCCTAGTTCCAGGGAACATGGCCTTATTTGAAAATATGTTTCTGTGGATGGAGTTTGTTCAGTCAACATTAGGTTACACGGGAGTTGGATAAGGCCTAGTCCAATATGACAGATGTCCTGAGGAAAAGAAAAGAGACCCAATAGATAGGCAACGGGAAGATGACCATGTGAAAGGGTGGGGAGACTTGGAGTTCTACAGTGTCTAAGACCACCAGAAACTAGAAGAGTCAAGGAAGGTCTTTCCCTAAACCTTTCAGAGAGAAGCTCCCAGAACTGTGAAAGAATATTGTTTTAAGTCACCTCGTTTTGTACTTTGTGATGGTAGTTGTAAGAAGCCAATACATTTATGCTCAATCTCAAGCCACTCCATCTGCCTTCTAGCCCCACCAGTCTACAGACACAGCTCTTTCTGAAGCCACCCATGGCCTCCATGTTGCTTAACACAACAAACACTATTCACTCTCATCTGACGTGGCCTCTCAGCAGCATTTGATGGTCTTGGACTCGTCCTTCATCCTGAAGCACGTTCTTTCCTTTCGTGATACACTAGGGTTGTTGTTTGGTTGGGTTTTTTTGGCTCTCAGCCTCTTTGCCTGTTCTTCCATCCACTTTGCAGGCCACCCTCGTCTACATGGGCTTTAAGTTTTCAAGGGTTTCAAGGTTCCCTCCTAGGCCTAGACCTCTGCTCTGGCCACTCTATCTTTTCTCCCTTCACACTGTCACCAAGCCCAGGCTTTTGTTACCACACCTGGGCTTTTGTCATTGACTTAAGGATATCTATCTCGAGCCACCTCTGACCTTTGCCTATGTGGCAATGATACCTCAGACTCAACGTGCTCAAAACAGAAGCCCTGGTTCTCTTAGTGCCATCTGGTTCCCTGGTCCACACAGGGGCCACCATCCATCAATTGTTTAAGCAGAAAAAGGGCTTCACCCTCGACACCTTCTTCTCCTTTGCTTGTTACAGTCCCCAAGGCTCTAGAGTCCCTACCCCTCTCTCACTTCTCTCTCTCCACCCAACATCACTGTCCTTCAAATGAATATCACCTCTCATCTCCACTCCTCCAATTACTCCTCCAATTGCCTCCTAATTGTTTCCTTCCACTCTGATCCCCAGCAGTTTGCCTTCTACACTGTGGCAAAAGATAACATCAAATGTCCCCTTGCCCCCACCCCTGTATTCTTTGACCTGGCCACTCCTTTCTCTCTGAGCTTACTCTCCCCACCCCTCCCCGGGACCAGACACCTCAACCTTCTTTCTAGCCATCAACCTCCCTCTGTGGGAAAGCTTTTTGCCCATTCCCTCTGCCTGGCCTTCTTGTATCCCCTGGTTCACTTCTGCTCCTGCTTTGAGTCCTCACAGCAAGTATCCAGCCCACATTGGGAAATTTCCGACTAGACTCAGAAAAAGCATCTGCCTGATTAATTCATCTGCCTTTACTGTTCCTATAACCCACTAAGGTGCTCTGGGAGTACACTTTAACTTCTATTTTCTATGCATTTATTTCTCAGAGCCTCAATTTTCTATTCAGTGGGAAGGACCGGGGCG